ATCTTTAATCTTCTGTAAACTATCAACTCCTCTACATTCTATACAGTCTAAGAGAGTGTATACAACTTACAGGATCCATCCTGTGTTTTAAAACTTGAATGTAGTGGGATGTCTATTAAGCTTCTATTACATAGTACGTAGATACATAACAAGTTTACACTAGTTCTGTCTATACTACTTAAGTTTTAGAGATGATAAAATATGCTTGTCTGTACATTCAAAACTGTTCATTTGGGGACAGGACCTAGGTTCCCTTTGGGTGTATCGAAGTGCAATCACTAAACTATATTGTACTAATGTGTTGGTGCATCAAAGTTAAGGCAAAGGCCCATTCTCCACAAATCACTCCATTCCAGTTATCAGGGAAATAATTTAATCATCTAGTTTTACTTTTTTAAGGTTGCTTCTTGAGAGCCCACGAACCTCTGCCACCTTGCCCTGCAGAAATTCAAAGCTTAAACAGTGATGGCTGCTTTCAAAATTTTGTATGTCTATTTGAAACGATGGCCTGAAATGAGCGCTGTATTCTGAACGGGTTAAAATGCAGGATGGCTTTCTGCACTGTGTGGCATACGCAGGCCAGGCCACTCAAGGGTGGCCGTCACGAGGCTGCCCCTCCAACAGGAAACACTCACAACGCTCTGACTTGTGACAAACAAGTCCGAGAAGCAACTGCGGCTGGGACCGATGGAGAAAAGTCATCTCAGCCACGACCAACGCTGCAGACAGCCACCGAGCCCCTGTGCTCGGAAGGCGGATGATGTCAGCACGCCGGATTTCACGAGTGGGATTCCGGCTTGGCAGGCAGGAAACAATCCCGCACGTCGCGCACAAACAGGACACAACAGAGAATTCATCCCACGTCCCTTCCCAGACCAGGACTTACCCAATCACAATCAGCCCCAGGCCTGGGCCGGCGTCCCCCCGGCCGGGCACCTCGCCACCAGGCTCACGCGCCGCCCGGAGGTGGCTCCCCGCGCGGGCCCCACGCAGGCCGCGGGCGGCCACTCGCCCCCGCGCCCCGGCTCCGCGGCGGCCCAG